TAACACCCCCAGACCTGGGCTCTACTCTACCAAGACGTTAGGGTAGAATAACAAAAACAGAATTAAAACACACAAACACTACAGTGAGTTCAGGAGCACCTTTCAGATCCCTGCCCCTGTTCTTTTTCCCCAACTTCTCCCGGGCCCCACAACAAATGGATATAAAGTTGATTTCGAACACATTTACTCCTAGAATTCCCAAGTCTTTGGCTTGATGTTCTATCCTCTGAGAACCTCCCAGGCTTGGGAGATAACTATAAATTCAAGGAAAGGATTGAGGCACATGATCTTCCTCTCTGTCAGACACCTTAGAGAGGTTGGCATGTCTAGCCCATGAGTGAAGGAAGAGAATTCATTGAGCCCAGTGATTTGGGGATCCATATTATAAAAAATAGTTACTTAAGGAGTTGCACTGGTAACTCATTAAAAAAAGTTCTTGCTGCCTGTTAGTTTAAGCCCTCTCAAAATAAAGTCTGAAGTAAGTCCAGCTGGCACCAACGAGGAGTTTACACATCTGCTAAGAAATCCAGTTAATCTCTTCTAAGAGATTAGGGGTCAGGAGGATTTTGTTAAAGTTTAGGCAACTGCTTCACCAGTGAGGCATTTTTCTAGCAAGTTGGGCATGTAGGAAATGTTTATCCAGTATGCCCTCTGTCTGACTCAGAGCACATATGTGAGTGTTATTATATAAATTGGTGCCATGTGAAAGGAGGAGACATTCCCTATTATTAATTTTATTAGGCTCATTCTCCCTAGAAAGAACGAGATCCTGGAGTGTATAATGTGTCTCCTACCATGGTCATCCTTTCATTCACCTATTTTAAAAAAGAAGCAAATTAAATATTTTAAAAGTGCCAAACTTTGTGCTAGGTATTTGGAGTGAATAAATACATTAGGAATCTCATAACATAATAGGGTAGACTGATGAACATGATATAACCTAGTGTTCTTAGCACACCATTAAAAATATGGGTCAGGTCCTATGGGACCACAGAAGAGGAAATAAATAAAATTAAGCAAGAGCTCTATTCAAAATAAAAGCCAATCTACACAAACATATCTAACATTCCATCTTCAATACTTATGGGACACAGAGGCTCATTCCTTCATCAGCTAGTTGCTTTGGTTGGTTCTTTTAGGAGCTGTGGTTCTAGCAAAGCATTGTCTTCTACAGGAGGGCAGAATCTCTGAAACCCCTTTCTCTTCTTGCTAGGTGTATGCTTCCTCAAATGTCATGCTTACTTAGGATGCTGGCCATCTTTTATCTCGCCCAGATTATTGTATATTTAACTATGTAGGACATCCAGAAGGTTGGGCTACATTTTGGACTATTTAATCCAAGACCTTTCCTGCACAGTGCAACCTCACCACTTACCCAGAATTCTAGCCTGGGTTACCAGTCCACAGGAGATTGGCATGACAAGAATGGAGAAAGGAAGAGAAATGTTCCGTTCCCCTAATTCCTGTATACCATGGGGGACCTCTATAGCAGTAACTATAATGATGGATATAATGTTTTTTGAGAGTTTGCATTCTACTTTGTATTTGTTAGTTCATTAAATCCCCTGGAGTAATCACTTAAGGAAGATCTTTAGTCTCCCCACTCTCCTAATAAGAAAGCTGAAGTTCTAGATTGATATGGGACTTGGCCAAAGCTATGCAGCTAGCACAGTCCATCGGAATCAGGATTCCCTGGTCTCACTCTGCACACATCTTTTTTGTCTACATTAGTGGGGACCAAATTCAAGTTTATCATATACAACATATTCTCATAATCCTAGTTCAGTTCCTGGACAGCTCTATCTCAGAAATCTTTCTCACTCAAACATAACATTTATCATTGAGAACAAATAGGTAGCTACAATTTAAATATGTTGTTATAAAGCTCTAAGAGAGACATCTGCCAAAGTTGATAATCAGATTAGAGGATTGAGAGAGTTAAATACTAAAGTCTTTATTTTCAGGGTTATATTTAGCAGAAAGTAATGGACCTTGACCTTTCCAAGTATAAAGCCACCCTTTCTTGTAAAAATACTGTCATTTTTTTATACTCTATCCCAAATCCCATGTTAGTTATACATTACTTACTAAAGAGGCCCAAGCCCGCCAAATGTTCATTTCTTATAGCTTCGCGTGGAAAAGCTTTATATCTTAAATCACATGAGAGGGTCAGCCTGCCTTTTGGAAGAGGCAGCCGCTGCAGTTTGAAAGGGGCATACATATCCTAGGACTCTCGCTATTTTTTTTCCCTTATTGACTTTTAGTGGGGAGGAGGGGAAATAGAGTTGAACTGAAAGGTCTGCATTAGAAGAGAGTTGAGTCCACTATTTTATTTTTCTTCTTAGCCCCTATCACAATCTGATACAAGGTAGGTTTTATTCTTTTATCTTGCTCATTGTTTTGTTTTCCTCATTATAATGTAAGTTGTAAGTTCTTTCCTCTGCTTTACCCTTAATCATCTATATAGAATAGTGTCTAGCACATAATAGTACTTTAAGAAATAAGAAATAAGGAAATTTATACCCACATGATTACAAGTTTATTATACATGACACAGTCAACTTGTATCTGAAAAAATGTGTCAAAGTGAATGTTTGTAACTCAAAATACTTAAAGTATACTGGCAACATTTCTATTTCAAAGAATCTATGATTGCTCTCTGTATAAAACAAAGGATTTAAAAAACTAATTTTAATAATTTTCCCATAATATAGCCCTTAAAAATTAAATATTTTTCCAGTTTTCTTCAAAATGTGCTAATCTACAAAGTATAAAAAAGAAAGCAGGTAGTCTTTGAACTTCACACTAGCCTGTTTTAGTTGTAAAATAAATTAGTTTCTAATGGAAACTCTTAAAGATGCTGGTGAGACACTTAGGCTACCAACATCCCCTCACCCACATCCACAAAAACCAGTGAAAACCATAAACTACCTAAAATATTTTCAAAAGTCCCTCTAGGGGGCAATATTGCCCCCATTGAGAACCACTGTTTCAAGGATAGGGTAGGACTGTGAGATATGTCCTTCCCCTCCTCTTCTATTTGTACTTAGCTCTTCTAATGGTAGGATGGAGGAAGATGTAAAAGGCAAATGCCTTCTATTTAATGGGGGTATGTTTCTCCTCTGGGTTAGCTTGGCTACTACCTTAGTTGTTGATCTATATGTTTTCAGTCTTCTCCTTATATTCTGATAAAGATGGGGTTAGGATGCTTGGTAAGAGGGCCAGCAATCTGATCTAGCCCCACTTAGGACTTCCATGGAGAGGTAGCCCTACCTGAAAGCATAGAATATAAGCAGCCCAGGCAGCAGGGTAGGAATGGGAAAGGGTGAGTAGTAAACTCTGCTTGTTGCTCTATGTAATTGTGGAGTATAAAAAGACAAGTCTCTTTATGCTAGTTGAAAAAAGGGTAACTGAGAGAAGTGTGCTGGAGTAGAAAACACATCAGGCCAGAATACAAATACCTAAGTAATAGCGCCAGCTCTATTGCCACCCATTGTATGATTTTGGATATTTTAATTCTCTAGACAACCTTTGACTCATCTGGAAAATTGGATAGAGATTAAATTAGAGGATGTTATATCTGAATTCTTTAAACCCTTGAACTTAATACAACTCTGGGCAGTTGGGCTCTCCTTATAGACAGTACACACTACTTTTATCTGTGTGTCTGGGTGTCCTTGAGAAAGGTAAGAGTTTTGTTCCTCACTCTTTAAATTTACAGAACAATAGGCAGTAGTAAGTACATAAAAGTTATGAAAGATATGTGTGCTCTTGTAAAGGCCCTTATTATCCAGTGTCTTAGATTTCTTAGAAGCAGAGCCAAGATGGACCCTTGTCCAAGTGATTCATGGAGGGTGAGCTCTCAGGAGAAACATCTGAAGGAAGGAGGAAAGCAGGATGAAGCAGTAAGAGTTAGGCAAATGTGGGGTTTCTAGCTTCATCCTGAACCCATGGGTCTCAGTTACACCAAGATTCTTCAGCCCAGAGTCAGGTGGTCTGGGCTATGAGAACCTCACTTCAGCCAGACATTTACGACCGGTCACCTACAGGGGCCAGTAGTATCCCAGGCATCACCTGTTGAAGTGGTTCCCATAAGCCAAGGACAAACCTATGCAGAAGGTTTTCCCTTGGCGGTCAAAACCCACAGCTGTTGGAAAGATGATGAATACCCACTCCAGAAAGGAGAATCTGGGTAGGGCACCAAGAGTATCTACCAGGTCTGGTATTAAAGGAGCCACATCATGTCCTCATGCTATCCTTTAAGAGCACTTATAATGCCACCTATCAGTAAGTGACGTGAAAGACAGCACAGTCTGAATAAAAATTGGGCCACAGAGACGAAAGAGAAAAAAGTGGAGATTATAAGCATGATGTCATTGGCTCTAATGAAATATCTTCCAGGCAATTTCATATAGATACCACCAAGCTACTGTGCCATCTTTCCCATGGCCCACAGATATAATGAAGGAGAAGAGATTACTGAGAGTGCAAAAGAAAGAGTCTATTCTTTTATGATGATATCGGCAGATCAAACTCACTAGGCCCCCTATATCTTGCCACATTTGCTCATCGTTGCTGTCTAAATCTTTGAGATGGTTACATACAAATTCCAAGTATTCTAATGCTTTGAAGTAATGTGCTCATTATTTTTCAGTAACCAAGTTGTTTGTTCACTTTATTTCCATTTTATGGGTGCCCATTTCAATCCCATACTTATAAAGAATTTGTAATGACACTTTTTTATGGTTCTCTGTTAATACCAGATTAAATACTCTAGTGATTTAAGGGATTAATGGGCAATCCTCAAAATGACCTTAAACAAACTTAAATGGCATAACTCATATAGTAGAGGGCTTTGGAGCTGGAGATGAGGGTAGGAAATCCAAATTTTGACACTGTGGGGGGAAAAAGAAAAAAACAAAAAGGAAAAGAAGGAGGATCTTTGGGTATTTAAGATTACCTACTGACTACACTGACCTCCCCTCACAAACCTACTAGCAGGTGTTTAGAGTCTAGTGCTTGGTTTAATCATATTAGTGAAGATTATAAAGAAGCTTTAAAATCCCAAGACTGGTGTTCAGTGCTAGGATTGTTTGGAGAGCATTCGTGAGAAATCGATTATCAAACACACAGAGAAAGAGACAGTTCACTCAGCAAGTTAAGAGCTGAGGGAAGGGTTGGCTAACATTGACTTGAAGCAAGTTCCACAATCCAGGTGTATGAACTAACTTTCTACCTTTTAGCAAGAAAAGGTTGCCAGCAGTCAATATGGAAGAAATGGCAGAAAAGGAGAGACTGAGGAAGGAAGTTGCGCAGCTCCGCAGAGAAGCGGCACTGGAAAGAATGAAGGTAAATTGTTTTCTTTTGAATTATATTTTCAACTAGAGATACTGTAGGATTGGCCAGATTAGAAACCACTGAAAGAGCACAGAATTTGCTACCCCCAAATATGCCTCTTTGGTATAAGGATTACTTTAGTCTGATTATTGTTGAGAAACAGCAGACACAGGAGAAGCTCTGAAAATGTAGCAGAAGTTGCCCTTTGGTAAGAGATTTTGACATTTATAAGGGAAATCTCCATGTGTGAGGGTGTCTCCTCTCTGTACCTGGATGAGGAGGGTGACTGAATCTCTAGAAACTATTATTAAGGGCGGTAAGGACTTCAATCTGTACGATCTTATCCTAGTTTGCTGTGCTTTGCCTGGGAACCTCTCATAAAAGGTCCTCAGTCCCACCCTCCCACCCATCTTTTATCTTCAGGTGGAGGTGGTATATAAGGAGCTGTCTTGGGCCATTTTGGGGAATTACTCAGTTTTCCTGAGTATCCCCATGTATACAGAAGGTATACATGTTATTAAACTTCTGTTTGTTTTTTTCCCATTAATCTGCTTTTTAAAAATTTATTACAAGGGCTTCTGAGCCAAGAACCTAGAAAGGTAGGGGGAAAATTATTTTTCCGGCCCCACACCATTCACTGGAGAGGTTCAATGGAGTTAAAAATAAATTGTGCAGGTAAAAATGTATCAGAGATTAAGAAAATGAATAATCACAATTATTTCTTGATTTAGGTTTAAATCAAAGAATTGTCAAACTATTTTCCATGATCCAAATCCAGATGTTGCCTCTTTTTGCATGACCACTAAGTTAAAAATGCTTTTACATTTTTAGAGTTGTTAAAGAAAAGAAAAGAAAAGAAAAGAAACGAATATGAGACAGTGACCATATTTTAGCTAAGCAATAAAATAAAGTAATGCATATTGGCCTTTTGGCCTTTTGTTTTTATCTTTCTAAATTGAGAAGCTTTTCTTTATTTGATGCAAATCTTTGATATTGTTCAAATACTCTTAACCAAGAAGTCATCGCCCCTAGTACTCTCATAGCCAGTAATAAATGAGTACATTCTATTCCTTCTTTAGAAGCATAAATTAGTTCAAGCACAAGAACTCATAGTTCCTCCCAAAAACATCTGACAAGTCTTGGAAATGGTTATCAAGAATTCTCTGCCATTAAAGGAGAATAAATGGCAAAGGCATAAAAGTTCCCATGGAGTTTAGAAAATGTAGATATGTATTTTAGATTTGCTCATTTTAGGAAAGTTAGTATAAACAAAAGCTCCTTCACAAGTGTAGTGATAAAAGTATATTTTTATATATTTTTTAAAAACTCATTTTATCAGGCCAAAGTGAAAAAAGGAATGTATTATCTTTAAACTGTGCTCAATACTCTTACTCCAAATAAAAATAAGAATTTTGGCTTTTTGATGTTTACAATTGTCTCACACTCCCTGTTGTCCTTCCCATAGAGGCAAAACATATTTTGCTAGAAAGATAAAATTAAATCTATACACAGCAGAAAAGCTTGGAGCATAACCAAAAAGTTCAAATCGTTACCTTTATAATTTCAGGAATATAAAATAAAATTTTGGAGGAAAGGAGAGTTATTTTTTTCTTCTTTACTTAAAACATCCAAAAGGTGTTTATTATTTATATATTCATGATTGTGGTTTTGTAGGCAATTTGGCTGTCTTCATGTTTATTATTCACTTGTGGCAAGTTCACCTAGGAATTTTTACTTGTAGTAAACAGTGCATACATCACCATCTGTCGGGTTTTGGGTTCCTTTTTCTGTTCTTTAACATCTTCTTACTCTTAGAAGTCAAACTAATTTAATCTGAGACTGCCAAACACACACACACACACACACACACACACACACACACATACACATACATACACACACACTCACACAACGGAACCTCCAGGTCCTGAACCCAACATTCTGACAGAGGATGACATAGTGTCATTACAGGATGGCTAAGTGGATGGGCTCTGGAGCCATATCTCTGGTTCAGATTCTGACTCCACGGCTTACTCCCTGTGTAACACTCGCCTAAGTTATCTAACTTACCTGTGCCTCTGTTTCTTCTTCTGTAAAATGGGCATAGTGACAATATCTAATGCAGAGGGCAATTGGGAGGAATAAGTGGGATAATATATACAAAATTCTGAGTGCAATGCCTAGTATATGGCAAGTACTTTCTACCATTATTATTTTTTTAATTGCTATTAATATCTATGAACCAGACTGGTCCATAATATGCCTCGACCTATTTTGTTGTCAGGGCTGCAGTATGGTCAGCCAGCCACCTCTGCATCCAGTTCCTAAAGCTGGGAGATTTGCAATGATTATAAGTCAGTGCAATAGGCAGACTAAAGATAATCTTTGGAGTGATTGCTAAAAATAGCTACCATTTTACTGAGCATCTTCGTATGCCAGGCCCTTAATGCAGCTAGTGTTGCTCTTGCTATTTCATAGAGGAAGTAACTTAACTTGAACTAAGATACATAGTTGGTCAGAGGGCAGAGCCAAAATTCAAACCTGGAGTGGCCTGAATCCATTGTGAATGCTTTCCACATACCATGTAACCCTGAATTAAGCCATATGCACTGATAAGAAGCCTCGCTGAAATAATTTTAAACACATACATTCCACATAGAGATCCTAGCCAGACGCTGTCAAAGTCCTGCATTAGGACAGCAACTTAAACCTCTGTTCCTGACTTCTGGTTGGAGCCAATGGGCTGGTGTTAGGAGGAGAGGAAAAGAAAAGTGAATTTAAATCTCAATTTTGAATTTTTGAGGAAAAAACCAAAGTGAACCTAAATGACTGTATATTGCAAAAGTGTTTACAAACTTCACGTTTCATTCTATGAAGGAGCCACATAACTGATGCCTTGCCCCAGTTAGAAATGATTTGTTCTGCAATGTAAATAATGAGTTTGCAGAGTTGTAATCTTACGACTAATGTTGCTTGGAATCTGTGTCCAAAATTGGCATAAAGATTTTATTTTAAAAAAACAAAAACAAAATTGGTTACATAACTTATGAAATGACCACTTAATGGACTGCCAAAAATGAAATTTTTGTGTTAAGGTCTTAAATGATATATTAAGTGAAAACAAAGCAAGTTGAAAGTTAAACAAATGAATACCTTGTTCCCATATGTACCTATCAATGTACACACACACACACACACACACACACACACATATTACATATGTATAAAACATTGCCTCTCCCTAAAAGATACGTTAAATGGTACATTAGCAGGCTCTGGCTATGTCCGTTAAGGTCCTAAAGCCTGATTCTTCATAATGGTGCAGAGGAATGAGGAGCAAGTTTATAAATGAAACAACTTATTCAGTTCAGCGAATATTTATTTACTGAGCACCAACTAAATGTAGGCTCTGCTCGACATGCCTGGGATCCATGTGAACAAATCAGCCAAAGGTGCCCGATCCGTTGGAGTTCACCTTCAGGTACATTGTCATGATCAATCACTGTAGATAGGATTAAAATGAAATTATCTGTGTATACTTCTGAGATTCCAGCGGGGGTGATAAGCCTGGAATTTAACAATTATTCATTCCCTCCCACTTTTACAGGTCACATTTTTGGAATGAGGGAAAATATTTCATTAATATTCCCTCTGGTGACATTCTTGACTTGTGTTGCCAGCTGTGTTCTGATCTCTGTGTCTGCTGGGAGCCCTTAGCTGGAGTGTGGCCAGCTGTTTATTCTCTGCCAGGAGAAATCCAGGAGGGGAGGGGAGGGAGCAGCTATTTCCTCCTCTCTTCTAAAAAGTACATAAGTGTGGACAGAAAGCAGAATCCCATTAGAAAGATAGAACACACAGAAATTAGTGTTGTAAATACATTCCTGGATTCTGCAGTTTTGTATATTAAACCAAATGAGTCATCCCTCTCTGCTTTCCTTTAAGGTATCCCAATGTTGTGAAGACCTGCGGGAGTACGTCCTACAAAATGCTGCCAATGACCCACTGCTGAAGGGGGTCCCAGATGACAAAAACCCCTACAAGGAGATCAAGGGAGGCTGTGTGATTTCATAAAGAAATAAAAATAAAAATCCCTGGAATATCTTGAGCTTTCATGACAACATTCATTTTTCATCCTATGTCATAGTATCATTAAGCATGTGAATGAATTTTAAAATTCATTAGTATAAATCTTTAATGAAAATTGGCATGTGATAATGTTAAGTCTATGTTTTAATATGTTTATTTAGCACAGGGTCTAATGCATCATTGACAATAATGTTGACTGACCCCTTTCTTTGACAGTAACTACTGTGATCTATGAATGAGTCTGTATTATGTTGGTTGCCAGCATTTAGTTACTGTTTTATGTTTCTTCACTTCCTTTTCAACACTCATAATATTCCATCTGGAAATTTCATGGTTAGACTTACATATTTTTTCAACTTTTCTCTTGCTGACTGAATTAGCAAGTCTATTCTTTTGATTCATAAGACTGATCTTTGCAGAATGTGTGCTGTGAAGATTTTGGTTGTTGATGGTTTGTTTTCTGTTTCTCTTTATCTTTCAACCCAAAACGAGCAGTGATGGTTTTAACATTAACCTCTTCCTCCATTCTTACCAGTTCTAGTTGTCATCAATGATGTGACTTTCCCCTGGAATGCCAACTGGATCGAGGGTTCAGTGTATGGTCACAGGGCACAGTAGGTGTAACCAGCACCAGAATGAGGATGATGAGAAGCCAGACAGCTCGGGCTCTGGCACTCGACTGCCTAACTGACTTTGGATAAATGACTTAAGCTGTCTGAGTCTCAGTTTCTTCTACTGTAGAATAAGGAAAGAAATGGTGCTATCCCCTTTGTCCTGGGGATTAACTGTGATACTAGGGTGACTATAGCACTTAGCATTTTGCCTGGCATAGAGTAAGACCCACTAGGTGTTAGTTTATTACTGGGAAAGGAACTGGACTACATGCATAGCATCCCCATGATAACTCTCACCAGTCCCATCTATAGAAGGCAAGACGATAGAAAAGTAGCTATCCGCATCCTCCTGCTAGTCGATTTCTTCCTAGCTTCACCTTGAGTCTGCCTACGCTAGACCTCACTACCTTTGCGCTGCTAACGCCTCTGCTTCTGTAACAAGTGGCGAGTATTAATAGATAACTAGATAACTATTTTTGCTGCGAGTATTTCCTTGTTGCGCTCTTACATTTACAGTGCTATTTTTGTAATAGATTAGAAATGCTAATTATTCTTTTAAAAAGATAAGAATTAGCTATTATTTTTTCTGAAAGAGATCTATTATTGTATGAATATTTAAAATCGCTAGAGCAAAGATGAATATATGGAAGAAAGCCTTATAAATGTCCTCTATTATTATTAACCCTACACACTTCCTGTTGTCAACACACTTAAATATTAAGTAATCCCTCACATGACTCCCCATCTTCCATCTAGAGTTTAGTCCTACGAATCCCTCCACCTGAAATGTTCCTCCGCTCCATCTCATTTCAGCCATTTGAAATCCTATTTCTCTTCTGACGCTTAATAAAAATTATCTCCTCTGTCCTTCACTCTATTCCAAGAGTAATGTGTATTGTGTATCTCTTAAGTGATTTTACATTATTGTGCTTTCTCTTCTTATAGCTTGTATAGCTGTTTTAATTTCAATAACATATTGTAAATTTCCCAAGCCGGAAGTTCCATTCATCTGTGTAACTGCTAAATCAACTAATAAAGTCTCTAAAATTTAATTGACTTAAGTGTTTAATTTAAGGATAATTCAGAATCTTATTGGCTTACTACTTAAATCAGCAGTAGGGTAAAATTCCTATTGCTTAAAAATACAGATTGTCAGCGGGATTTTGAGTAAGATAAAAATCATAGGAAGGAAGCATAGAGAAAGATGGTCCAGGGAGAAGGAAATGAAATCATGGCTGTCCCATAGCCCACGCAACTACAAGTGGCAGTAAATGATTCTTTTCCCCCCAGAAGTTGTTATTTCAGGGACACGGATTACTAGGTTAAATGGAATGAGGTAAAACTAAAGGAAAACAAAAAATACTTCAGGCATAGCCTTAGCATTTGGCTGTTCAACAAAACTACCTGATATCACTAGTGAGAATGGGCAAAGTGACATACTTTCTATATCATTTGCGGTATTAGCCCTTTCAGGGTGTTTTGTATACATAGGTAAGTTTTAAAGTTTTAGTAAGAAAAAAATTCACTGTTATTTTCATTTGGATTGATTGATGTTAACCACATTTTAAAACAAGGCTAATATCAAACTTCCAAATCTCCTAAAAACATGCGAGGGAAACTATACACCAAGTAATGAGAATGACCAATTATATGCAATGAAAATTAAAGTCTTGTATGAACGTAATTGAGGAAAGGAATAATTTTGATACCACGAATTATTAGTTGTTAAGGTAACCGGAGCATCAGACTTCCCAGTGTCTCCATCAGGAAAAAGAATCTTACAGGTCAGTTTATGAAAATGTCCATGTGATAGTTATGATACATTGAACCAAATGTTAAATGAACCAAGAGTGCATGAAATGTATGTTAAATACTTTCCTTAAAGATACCATCATTTTAATGGCCTAAACAATCACCACTTTCTTTATAAATTTTAGAGGAGTATAATTTGGGAGGTAACCACATTTATTTACCCTAACAAAACAGACTCAAAGAGAATCTATGTCTTGCAAAGATCACAAGATTAAAAGATCTTCTTTTAACTCAAGTTAGTATAAAATCAACTCTAATATAGCTGCCCTCAAATTTTTCTTATGATTTTCTTTGTATGGATTTTTAACAACATACTTAATACATCAGAAAAATAGTCCAAGAATTGTTTTTTTTTTCTTTTTTTACATTCCAAGGTAAATATTTCATGGTCTTTGCTCTTTTATATTCTAAAAGTAAAAATAACCACATGATTAATATTATTTTTATTAAGCAGATTTCTTTTTAAAAATTTTTATGGAACCAATGATTTTTTTTAATTTTTAAATTACAGTTGACATACAATATTGTATTAGTTTCAGAGTGATTAGACATTTATATAACTTTCAAAGTGCTCACCTCACTAAGTCTAGTACCCATCTGACACCATACATAATTATTACAATTTTATTGACTATTTTCCCTATGCTGTACTTTACATCCCTCTGACTGCTTTTTATGACTGGCAGCTTCTTTAAAACATTTGTCAACAGACAGGATAATAAAAGTTTATTTCTGATTACACCTGTCATTTTCACTGCAGAATGGTTTCTACACATATTTTGCACACTAACTTTGATTAGGGGTAACACATAAAGTATATGTAAAATGTTAAAAGTACATTTGGATACAACTGATAATGGCTTTTACATTTGTTTATCAAAGAATTTTTGCTGATAGAATATTTCTACAAGAATACACAAGAAATTACTTGCCATGGTTGCTCTCTGGGAGGTAAATTCCATGCTTAGGAATAGGGACTACAGACTGTGTGTGTGTGTGTGTGTGTGTGTGTGTGTGTGTGTCTGTGTTTTGAAGCATTTCCATCATTTTACCACTTAAAAAACCAAACAACAAAACATTTTTCATAAGATTGTGTGATCATGGGACTTTCCCAATTCATTTTAGTTCAAGCCATTTACTTAAATATATTAGCATATGAATTATTTGATAAGAATAAAACTTTTTTAAAAAAATAGACTAATATATATTTCATCTCTAATTTAAGTCTCACAACACTGTGGAAGAAGTTAAAGAACCATTATGGATTTATAAATATTTTTCACTGCGTGCAGCTAGGTGATTTCACTGGAAAGAAATTTCCAGACCAAAATAGCTCTATTTTTATGATTTGGAACAGACATACTGACATTCATTTACTTAACCAATTTATTTCATTTGGATGCTGCTGCTTATTTAATTTAGGCCACATTAACTACTTTCACTAACTTATTTAAGCTATTTTTAACCAACCTTTTCAATTTAAACAATGGGGAAACCAAAAAAAAAAATGTGTGAGTTCTGGAAACATGAGTTTTTGTCTTGGCTCACAGCTCACCAACAGGGAACACTCCATCAGTTGACCTAACTTCTTTGAGTCAGGGAGGTTCTGGAATGTGTGATATTTCTAATGCAGAAAAAGAACATCCTAACATTTTTCTTCGTGAAAGTGATGTATCAGATGTAGAGACATAAATACAATTAGAAAGGAAACATACCCTAGCTAATTCACCTCACCCCTGCCCCATCACATATTTTACACATTAAGAAAATCAGAATCAGGGAGGAGGGGTGGGAGTAACCTTTCCAGGGATGGCCAGTGTCAGAGCTGAAACTAGAATCCGGGAGCACTCAGCAAGTAGATCATTGTTTTTTGGACAAAAAAAAACCTTTGCTTACAAAATGAGGAGTGACTATGGCTAAGTCCAAGTTCCCTGAAATACTTCAGTTAATGCCTCCACTCTTAACTTGAATTTGACTCAGTCAGCAGTAGGTCATCCCCGGAGAGAAAGGGAAACATCTGACTGCTTGGGAAGATTTCTCACATTCAGGCTTTATTTTTCTTCTAATTTTTTAAGCAGCACTAACAAGGTTTTCGTTGATAGTCCAAGGGAAAGGTTTTATTGCAGGCAAACATTTTTCACATCCGTCACTTTTCCTGGCTTTACAAAGTGGCAGCTAGATGAATACTGCTTTCCAGAAAGGGGAGAGACCAATACTTTGTGAATCAGGAATTCACAATCCTCGGTGTCAAGTGTCGCCCACACGTTGGCAGATGGAGTGGAAGAAATCTTTTGGGGGAGAACATTAAGATTCTTGCTCTCTCCTCTGGTATCATCCACTTACCGTTCAATCGTTACAAAACACTCCCCAACACAAACTCTGCTATCCAGGATGCAGATAATTATTTAATGTCAGAAAATGCCCCTGCAAACTGTAACTAATATCCATACCCTGGCCCCCCTTTGGTCCCCAAATGTGGATCAAAGTCCTTCCCAGTTCCTTAATACACTGGAGGGCCAGACACCAACAGCTGTGGAGGGTGTTTCTGAGGTCACAGCCCAGCTCCATTTCCCATCTGGGACTTCTCTCCGGCGCCCACAGTTCCCCCAATACATGTGTGTAAGTAACTGGGAAAAGTTACGTGCTGTATCTTTTGGAAACTCTCGGAGAAGTGAAGAGCTGTTATTTCCTGCAGGGTAGTGTCCCCCTTTCTTGCTTCACAAACAAAGCCCGGATATGACTTGGGAAAGGGTAAGAAAGAAAAAAAAAAGGAACAAAAAGTAAAACGTTTGTTTTTTCTCCAGAGGATAGCGCAACCCCAACCCTTGGGCCCCAGCCCAGGACGGTCCCGCGAGGGCGAGGTGGGGTCGGGAATCAGGCCCGGGGCCCTTGGGCTGAACCCTCCCCGGGCTCCCTGGGACTGGCCTGCTGGGTTTGGTGGGGTTGGAGAGCGCGATCAGGGGTTTTAAG